GTTGTATTTCCAAGTATCCATTACGGCGATATGAGAATAATTGAAATTAGTTGGAATAAAAATAATTGTTTGTACGAAAAGTAAGGACCTACGTACATCAAAGTGTCTTTAAATTAAGTGGCGACAGAAGAATTATCGTTGAACTTTTAAAAGGTAAACTTAAATATCAAATCAATACTTAAATGCAAAGATCAATTTTGAGTTCTTCTGTAGTTTATTGTTGCCTATCGCATACTTCAGCAGTGTGCCTCGCAAAAAGAAATCTCTGTCAATAGAAGACTAGATTGCAATCAAAAGAGCCAAGGATGAAGCGAGGAAAATAAAGTCCCTTACAAATGAGATCCCAGATCAAACGTCAGCCAGGAGAGCTTCCAGTGCTGAGAATATGCAAAGACTTAGGGAGTCTCAAACTCCTGAACAAACCGAAAAACCAATCAAGGACCTTCCACAGGAGCTAGCTTAAATTCCGCCTGATAGACCCAACGATAATGCAGGATACTGTATCGTGACATCAGGCCGAAGAATGGTGCGGTCACATAGTTCTTCCAACATGAGTCCAACTGAACACTTATGGAGCGAAGTAATGGAGTCGGTTCCCACGCAGGATCCGTCACCGGCGAATATCAAAAAACTGTCGACAAATATCAAGACTTAATTTACACTACATACATTCAGACTATTGTTCTCATCCTTGTTGTTGTTATTACAATGTTTCGGTCGTTGTGCTTTCCGACCTTCCTCGGGTGTATATCGGTCTAGGAAACCTACAGGGATAACTGAATTTAACCCTTTATTTAATCTCCGCAGATTAAAGATTAAATAAAGAGTTCGGTTCAGTATTTCCTGCAGGTTGCCCAGGTCGATATACACCTGAAGACGACAGGAGAACATAACGGGCAAAAACATTGTGGTAACAACAACAAGGATAAGGACAAAAGTCCAAATATAAATAGCGTAAATAATGATAACTTCTCATTCCAGAAATTCTGACAAAAACTATTATGACTTCATGAGTAAACATCTACTCAAATGCTTACAATACGCTTGTGAAATCGATATATATATATATATATATATATATATATATATATATATATATATATATATATATTTATTTATTTATATATATATATATATATATATATATATATATATATATATATATATATATCAAAGTATATAATTGGTATACACGGAATGAATTCCAATAACCAACAATTACTATTCTTAAAAGAGTGCTCAATACAAAGTAGAGCAGATATAATTATTTTTTATAAAAAATTATAACATAAGTATGTTATAAAATCACTACAAAAATAGCCATTTTGTTTCAACACACTCTGTGTCTTATCAAGTGATGATGTTGAAAAGAAAATAAATGGTTTTAAAAGTTTCAGATTACTTAACGATCCTACACTAGGGGGAAACATTGTTACAAAAGCTAGAATAACCAATCAAAAACGGAGTATAGAAAGATTCAAAAGCTTGACAACGAAATCCTGCTCTAATAGCTATTCAGATCTTTAAATACGTGTAATATTAAAAATAATTTATACTAACTAATAATTATAAATTTACATGATAAAATTTAATATTAAAAATAAAAACTGGCAATTTTAAAATCCAAATTTAATCACTATTAAGTTTAAAAACTACAAAATTATTGAGAAAAGAAAAAATATATATGTTTATTCAATTCATTTCTTCATTGAAATTACGTTCGACAAGACAAGACAAGACGCTATAATACATCCGGTCATTAGATAATACATGTATATATTTTTTTTTTTTCCCTTTCTTTTCCGTTTTATTTTAAAGTTTGTGAATATGGTCTTAAACTCACGTGACACAACAAAAAAACACAATCAGATTATAATACATAAGCATCCAGACATAATTAGATACACACACACACACAAACAAACAAACACACACTAAAAAAAAAAAAAAAAAAAAAAAGGAGAGGTGGGGGATACATGAACATCTCTACAGCCCTTTATGAAAAAAAAGGAGACTTGAAACTAACACTTATACACACACACAGTTAAATGTGAATACACTCTACATACATATAGACACCGATATATACACATACATACATCCACAGACAATGGCATAGACATTGAGAAATCACAACCAGTAAATATTTCAGACTTAAATAAATGCTAACCACTTATTGAATTATAACTTAAGGGAGCAAATATACAAAGATAAAAATGTTTCCCCCTAGTGTAGGATCGTTAAGTAATCTGAAACTTTTAAAACCATTTATTTTATTTTCAACATCATCACTTGATAAGACACAGAGTGTGTTGAAACAAAATGGCTATTTTTGTAGTGATTTTATAACATACTTATGTTATAATTTTTTTTATAAAAATAATTATATATATATATATATATATATATATATATATGTGCTGTTCATGATGACGGTCGTCTTTGAATATAGAATCCAGAGGTTAGCAGTGAATATTTTGAAGACAGTAGGGAAGCGTTGTTCAGGTTAACAGTGGATATCCCGGTAAAGTAGCAGAGCGTAGTTATTCTTTCTGTTCCTCTTCGCCTGGCAAGCTGGCACTGGACATTCGGATAGAGTAAACAAAATGGCCGCCTTTATACACGACGGATTGAATATTCTACGTCTTCTGATTGGTTAACCTTCTATTGGTGGACTATAAAGTGAGTCAAGTCATTTGGGCTAGCTCACTAGTTACATATATAAAAAAAAAACTGCAAATAATATATATATATATATATATATATATATATATATATATATATATATATATACCAGATGTAACAACAAGATTTTCAAAATCGTGTAACAGCATGAAATAATTGTCCATCCGACATAATGTTTAGTATAAAAAAAAAACACTAAAGTAAATGAATTTCTTTTTTCCATATTTTCAGATAAGACGTTTAGCCATCTTGACACAATTTGTCGTAAGATTCACTGAAATACCCTTTGAGATATCCAGGCAGAAGGAAAACAGGTTAAAATCGCTTTGTGTCAGTTCCACTGTCTTCCCAAATGAGTAATGGTGAGAGGAAAAAGATCATTCAGGCCTTCAGTAATGATACCAACATTCATTCCCTGGCTTTCATCTTCAAATCCATTCAAGAACCATCAAGAGATCTGTTTAAAAAAGAGGGAACAGTAGAGAGGAAAACTGAATCAGGAGGTCACAACAGGAAGAGGGGTCATCATTTCAACTTAGAGCTAAAGAGATCAATTAGAAAATATCCAACTCAATCCATACGACGTTTCGTATGTGAAAGAAGAGTTTCAGCTATGACAGTCCAAAGAGCAGTGAAAAAAGACTTGAAAATGAAATCATACAAGCTCTGAAGCGTCTTGCTACTCCAGAACAGAAGATTAGAAGGTTAGCGGGCGAAGAACATATTGAATAAGTTGGAAAATGATCCTGGAACTTTATTTCAGCTTCAGATCCTTAGCTATGTTTAATTAATGAACATGCCATTTTCATTTATGATCGATTCCATTAAGATTCTTCTGTTAAGCTTGGAGAGTACTTATACATTCTTATTGCCCAAGTTAGAGTCCAACAGTGTTACAGAAACCTCAGAGAATTCCAGTAAAGTATCTTTAATCATTTCTAAGAAACAACGGTTCAGAGCTTAATATAACAATTGGTATTACACGATTTGGATAGTTTTGATGTTACACCCGATATATATATATATATATATATATATATATATATATATATATATATATATATATATATATAATCTGTAAGTCATCCTGAGCTAATTTACGTCAAAGTACATGCAATACTGACCTTTCTTAAAAGATCTTCTATTATCAAAGTGTGGAATACTTAATAAAAAAAGAGTGTTAAAACATAAGCAAAAAAAATTTTATCCCATATATAGAGTTTGAAAACCATAGCTGAATACAGTTTGAAAATCATGATTCAGTAGGACTTATAAAAGCATAATTCCGTACAGCCTGAAAAGTATAATTCAGTACAGTCTAAAAAATATAATTCAATATGGCTTATAAAAGCACAATTCCGTACAGTCTGAAAAGTATGATTCAGTACAGTCTGAGAAGTATAATTCAATATGGCTTATAAAAGCACAATTCCGTACAGTCTGAAAAGTATGATTCAGTACAGTCTGAGAAGTATAATTCAATATGGCTTATAAAAGCACAATTCCGTACAGTCTGAAAAAAGTATGATTCAGTACAGTCTGAGAAGTATAATTCAATATGGCTTATAAAAGCACAATTCCGTACAGTCTGAAAAGTATGATTCAGTACAGTCTGAGAAGTATAATTCAATATGGCTTATAAAAGCACAATTCCGTACAGTCTGAAAAGTATGATTCAGTACAGTCTGAGAAGTATAATTCAATATGGCTTATAAAGCACAATTCCGTACAGTCTGAAAAGTATGATTCAGTACAGTCTGAGAAGTATAATTCAATATATTATAAAAGCACAATTCCGTACAGTCTGAAAAGTATGATTCAGTACAGTCTGAGAAGTATAATTCAATATGGCTTATAAAAGCACAATTCCGTACAGTCTGAAAAGTATGATTCAGTATGGCTGATGAAAGCATAACACAGCATTGTATAAAAGCATCTTTGAGTACAGTTTGAAAAACATGATTCAATGTGGCTTATAAACGCATAATTCAGTACAGTCTGAAAAGCAAGATTCAGTACAGTCTGAAAAGCTTGATTGATTGATTCTTTTACTACGGCTTATCAACATTTTGCAGGTTATTTAAAACCAAGAAAATATGTTTGGGTTGTAATAATTTGGGTGGGGGGATGATAATGATTTAGCGATACAACTCTCACTAATTAATCCATAGCTGGGAGGAGAAGTGGTGGAATCATACCTTTCCCAAATGTATTAGCGCATAAGTAAATATAACGAACCCAACTGGAATTAGACCTCGACCCTCAGATTAACAATCCCGAGCCATTATCCATTACATATCATCAGCATATCCAAGCTTACGGCATCTGATATTCACAAGGTGTCAGCCATCTAGGTACTAACCAGGATCTATGTTGCTTAACTTCGGTGATCGTACGGGAACTGGTGTTCCAACGTGATATAACCGCAAGTCAATAGCTCTTAAAACGGGATTCAATGTGTCTTATTAAATCATAATTTCGTACAGTCTGAAAAATATAATTCTACACAGCGTGATAAACTTGATTCAGTAGAGGTTTGTAAAGCATGATTCAATATGGCTTATGAGACCATAATTTTATAAAACTATAAATCCGTAATTTTTAGACCATACCGAGTTGGGGTTTTTTTTTTTTGGGTGGCGGGATGTTTTATTAGTACAGTCTAAAAAACAATGTTGTTGTTTTTTTCGGACAGTTGCAGAATATTTGTTCGTTGTCTCCCACCTGCAAACGAACGAACTATGTTCCCCCGTCCAGCCTAGGTATTTTGCTTGTCTTTCTCATTCACAATGAAAGTTTGCTCAATAAATCAAAGTTTAATCCGGACACAGCATCGTTTACGATAAATATAAACAAACTGCTAGAATCAACTTTTACGAAGAGAATTTCTCGTAGTTGAAGAAAATATTTCTTTTTACTCAGTCGTCCTAAAGAGTGCTAGGGAAATTTGATCTTGGAAAATTTTCTTTTAAAAAAGAAAAGAAATTAAAGAATTATAAATTAATTTAGAAGTCAAACTGTTACATTAATAATAAGCAAAAACTGAAATTAAAAAAACGGAAATTAATGAAAAACGGCGTGACAATTTAATTTTTACGCGAACACGTCCGTACCTGTTCCAATATCCGCTTACTTGGACCATACATCAAACGTGTTATACGTTGCCGAGCAGTAGAGGAAGTTTTATGTTATACCGTCAGCGAAAAATGAGTGAAAGGAACCCTGGAGCAGGGGATTAAAATCATGTTCGTATATGGCCTATACCAGTCATGGGCACCCTTCCGCTCGGTGAGCAGCATAAGATATGATTCATCATAAGGCAGGCCATAGTAATGATAAAATTAAAATTAATTTTTCGTTAAAAGTAAAGCAACCATTTTCACTACGGAAGATCATACGCATAAGAAAGTTGATATTTTTTATTTGGAGAAAATACTTTTTCTACAGCTTAAAAACTGAAGATTTTTGCTATAATATTATCACTGATTACACTGCGATTAACACAGGCCTCTGCGTGGGATTTGTTTCTAATGGATTCATTGGAAGACACAAAAGATATCTTTTTTAAAAAATATATATTTCCTCTCCAGAGAAAAAATAATTAATAGGAACGTTTCTCGTTTCTAAAGCAAAATATTTTTACACGTATGATTTTCCGTGATGAAAATCGCCAATCGTTTAAAATGCTGAGAACGTTACCTTCAACGACAGGTTACAAAATTCAAGAAACATCATACTTAATCATTGTTATGTGTGTGATATAGTCGAACACTACCCACAACGCAACAGACATTAATAAGTAAGGGAGGTTACTCTGTCATTTAATAGTTATCTCCCTTTATCACCAGTTTCTCTCAACCTCATTGCGTGAGAGAGAATGTCAGTGAACAAGTGAGAAGGAAACAAAACAGTAAATTTTCATAAACATTATTTTTCTGATTAAATTAGGTGTGCAGTTCAGATGGCAAAAGGAGCTACATGTGTCCAGCGAGCCGTGCATTGCCCGTAACTGGTCTGTACAGTTCAAAGAAGGGCAAGAAGATATGCAGGATAACACAAGTAGTTGAAAGTCAAAAATACAGCAGAATGGTAACACTAGTTTAATCTTTTACCGTATAAGGTGTATAACCGGGTAAAAAATCTGATCAACGTTTTACTGTCTGAAATATATAATAGGTTGATAGAGCTGGTACAACGTTTTACTGACTGTGGGATACAACAGAGTGGTAACACTAGTTCAGCCTTTTCTTGTATGAAGGACATACCCCGAGTAATAAATCTGATCAACGTTTTACTGAGGTATATAATAGTTTGGTAGACTTGATACAACTTTTTACTGCCTGTGGGATAGAACCGAGGGTAACACTAGTTCAGCCTTTTCTTGTATGAAGGACATACCCCGAGTAATAAATCTGATCAACGTTTTACTGAGGTATATAATAGTTTGGTAGACCCGGTACAACTTTTTTACTGCCTGTGGGATAGAACCTAGGGGTAACACTAGTTCAGCCTTTTCTTGTATGAAGGACATACCCCGAGTAATAAATCTGATCAACGTTTTACTGAGGTATATAATAGTTTGGTAGACCCGGTACAACTTTTTACTGCCTGTGGGATAGAACCGAGGGGTAACACTAGTTCAGCCTTTTCTTGTATGAAGGACATACCCCGAGTAATAAATCTGATCAACGTTTTACTGAGGTATATAATAGTTTGGTAGACCCGGTACAACTTTTTACTGCCTGTGGGATAGAACTGAGTGGTAACACTAGTTCAGCCTTTTCTTGTATGAGGTATATAACAGTGTGGTAAACGTGGTTCAACTTTGTACTATTTGGGGAATATAGTAGAGTTCAACGTTTTACTAGTAGTGAAATATACCAGGTTGGTAATCCTGGTCCATTGTTTTACCGCATGAGGGATATAAAAGGGTGGTAACCCTTGTTCATTTTCTTACCGCGTGTGGAATATATCAGGATGGTAAACCTGGTTCAGCGTTTTATTGCATGAGGAATACAACAGGACGATAACACTGCTAAAACGTTTTATTTCATAAGGTATATAACCTGGTGATAACACTGGTTTCAGCGTTTTACTGCCCGGCGGATACAACAGTAGGGTACACCTGGTCAACGTTTTACTGCATAAGGAGTACATCAAGGATCAACACCGATTCAACGTTTTGCTACATGAGAATACCTAAGGATGATTTGAAGAATTTTAAGATTAATCTTTGAAAATCTCAGATGTAAACACGGACAGAAGAAGGGATAAAAACAATAATTAGAAGCCAGAGAATTAACTTTCCCAATAAGGACCGACATGGGCATCAGGTGTCACCTGACCGTAATCCAGCGACTGCTAGCACAAACAGCGTAAAGGGGATAAAATTCCTCGGAACCTATCCATCACCCGGAAATGGGGGGGGGTCTCTGGGAAAATTTGAACCTGAAATATAAGTAGAATTCATTTGTAAAACTAGGCAGTATGACATAGATTTATGGTTTCTAATATTTTCCAAATCGCAAAGAAAAACACTCGCTACGTTTATTTTAAATACTATCAAAACCTATAAACGTTTATACGTTACCAAATTCAATGTTAAGGTTTTTGGAATGAGTGCATTTCAGCAAAGGTCTTCTGTTATTTAAAAAAAAAATGGTCATTAATGTCTTATCGAAAAACATGCGATATATCCCTACCAGAAGTGCTCAGACATCTAATCCCTAGACAAATATATTATATATAAAGGGCAAATCGAAAGACTTGTCACCTATTACCGCTAAGTAATGAGTACAATAGAACAATGAGTAATACAGTTAGACAAAGCACTTGTAATGGATTCAGTTTATTCACTTTCATTGACGTTGTTACACACCGAGGTCTGTATGAACATCGTCATTTCTGTAGCACAAAATGATGCGGCGCCATGTCCTGTGTGATATTTCACGAAGCTGTTACTTGTTGATTGTTGCAAGGGATGTCCGACCGGCGACCTTCAACTGATAGACATTCTGGTGTCGTTCATGTGAAACTCTCTCCTTGATAAAACCCCACAGAGCGTTGAAATAGAAAATTATATTATATAAGGGTGACAAGAATTTAGGATCACTCTCTCTTTCTCTCTCTCTCTCTTTTCTCTCTCTCTCTTTATATATATATATATATATATAAAAAAAAAATATATATATATAATAAAATATATATATATATATATATATATATATATATATATATATATATATATATATATATAATAAAATCAATAAATACAGATCAATTCATCAGACCTACAAATTCCAAGGAATTTGTAGGTCTGATGAATTGATCGTATTTACGATTCCAATGGAATAAATTATGACCATGGAATATTAGTGTTTAAGCCTTTTTATTATATCCTTACTCTGTCCTGGACATTGAGTTCCACCTGGATTCTATCCTCTTGGAATTTTTTATTCAAAAAATATACATGTATGTGTATGCACCTATGTATATATATTTATATATTTTGCATATGTATGTGTATATTTACCACTAATATTAGCTATATATATATATATATATATATATATATATATATATAAACAAAATGGACGTCATGCTATAACTTAGGTACCTTTCGACCAACACTTTTTCAAAGGTATACGTTGTCAAGTTTGAAAACAAACGAAGACACACTCAGTATAAATGAGGAGGGAAAGTTTACAAATTGAACAGGGGGTGGATGAAAATAGCAAGTTCCTCAAGAGTATAAAAATGAAAAAAGACACTCACAATCCCTCCAATACTTTATACTCTTGTGGAACTTGCTATTCTCATCCACCCTGATCCATTTTAATTGTGTGTAATTAAAATCTATCTTTTTAATCGCGTTCCAACTTTGAAAAAGTGTTGGTCGAAAGGTATCTAAGGTATGGCCTGACGTCTGTTTTGTTTAAATCTATGTTTCATTTCTGTGGGTACAAAACTATATATATATATATATATATATATATATATATATATATATATATATATATATATATATATATATATATATATATATATATATATATATATATATATATATATATATAATAAAAGAGTCAGAGTTAAATCAGGAAACGGTAGTATTAAAAAATCAGGAAACGGTAGTATTAAAAAAATCTCAATACGCATATAAGAGATAAAATATTTAAGATGAAAAACTTTTAAGTGTAGAAAATCGGCTGATTTCCTAATTTTATATATGTATTAAGCACTGTTTTTTTTTAAATAAAAGCAAAAATACTAAAGAACTTCGTATTATTAAACTAACACTTCTTTCCGTTTTTTTTCTATATATTTGCACACTCGCGCACGCACGCACAAACACACACACACACATATATATATATATATTTATATATATATATATATGTCATTTGGAAAATCCGAAAAAGAATATTAT